AGAGGAAAGCAGGGGCTGAGCCCCGATATCCCTGTCCAGGACACCGCACTAGTGCCCCAACTTCCTTCCACAAGCGCCCGCTGCCTACCCGCTAGTACCACGGGTGGCCGGGCTTTCGCATGTGGGCTTTCATGTAGCCCAATGGTGCCACTGTAGTTTGCTCCCCACCCCAGTGCTCTCATCAGGAACAGATGCCAGCAACTAGATTCTCTGAGAGGTCCACACAGTGTGCACTTTAGGGAGCCCCCTCTGGGGCCAGGTCACATGGGAGGTAGGGCAGGAAGCAGGCCCAGGCAGAGGAAGAAGCAAGCCACCATGCAGGTGCAGTGTGCGGGTGCTGAGTGGGTGACTCCCTGCAGTTGGGGCACCCCCCAGGTGCTGACAGCAGCAGGCTGTGGGTGGTGTATCTCTTGCCCACCATGGCTCACACCTTAATTATGTCTGCAGGGACCACCCGCTCTTGGCAGAGCCAGTCTGCAACATTCTTACGCTGAACACAGAACTTCTCAGTGTGAAGTGATTGCATTGGGATCATTTAGGGCTACTTCAAGAACATTGTGGAAAAAACAAACAAACAAAAAAAACCTTCCTTATGCCTTTCTTCAGGGACATAATGCCTATGCAATACGGTACCTTCTGGAGCAAAGCTGGAGTCAGTCCCAAAGAGAGTCCAGTTTCATTTCCAGAGACCCCAGGATGTGGGGGATGTGACACTTTCTCCTCTGTGGCACTGATCACAGAAGCTAGTGGAGGAGGGCTGTACACATGCACAGGGCCCTTCTGGACCCACACTCCTGTCTAGGCTCTTACCTCTGGCAGGCTGCCCCTCCTGGTGGTAGCTCCAGCTTTACTCCCCTACATTTTCACCTCAGGATATATGCAGGGTCTTTTGGCCAGTAATTTACATATTTGTTAAATTTCATTGCTTCTGATTGGTCTGGCCTAATCACGTGCCCATCCCAGAACCAACTGCTATATATAGCCAGAAGACTATGCAATGTTCTGATTAACTGGCCAGGGCATAGTGCTATGTCCATCCTTGGGGGCCAGAGAATGGCATCAAATCAAACTCATTCATGGGTTAAGAATAGAAAAAGGTAGCTTTCCAAGGAAAATTAGGATGCTGCCACTAAAAAGAAGGGAGCGTATACCAAGCAGGCAGATAGGAAAGGGCCCACTGGGTGGTTGAGACTGCCCTGGTTGGTATAGGTAGTTCATCTAAGGACTCCCCAGTCCCAAGGAACTTGCTGGGGGCCCTTCAGGCCCTGTCTCAGATCTGGTTTGTGACCTCCCAAGCATCAGTTCTCTCTGTGGGCCTCTGTCCTGCAAGCCCTACACCTTGAATGACCAGTGAGGCTTTCTGCTGGGTTCGCTCACCTTGAGTATGCTGTTGGTTGCTGACTCTGTGCACTTGGGTCATGGTGGCTACCAGCATTCACCCACAATGACAGGATCCCACGAGCCCATCCCTCAGGATTTAGGATTATAGAAACCCACTTTCACACTCAGGGACAAAACCTCCCTAATACTCAGGCAAGGCACCACATCCCTTCGGAGCCCTGGACGCTCTGTCTGTAAGGTTAAATGGATGGGTACTAGGTTCCGCTGGCTGGGAGGGACAAGGAGTTAAACAGAAGCTAGGTACCGGGGATGGCAGGCCTTTCCTTCATGGGTAGTGTCATGAGTTTCCCGCCCTACCCTGGGGGAGAGACATTTAATCTCTCATTTTTCAGCTGAGGAAGCCAAGCCTCGTCACAGCTTAGGCAGCTGGCCATGGCATAGAGCCCAAGCCCTGAACTTGGTGTGTGAGACCCAGGACGAGGGAGAGCAGGCCAGCAGGAGGGAAACAAGGGCCTCCTTTCTCCTCAGAGAGGAGAGGGAGGGTTGCAGTCTGGAGGGCCCTTTGTCTCTCTTCTCCTCAGACAGGTCCCTCAGCTATGATCCTGTTGTTGGCTTTTCATTTTCTTCCCAGAGAGCAGCCTCATCTGGTAAGTTGTCTACAGCTCTCTCTGTCACAGTGACACAAATCCAGTTTGGGGCATTGACAGCTGCAGCTCAGTTAGTGTGCATGGTGGGAAAGGCCTCAAAAATCAGTTAATGTCTCGGGGCCCCATGTTTGCCTCTCTGTTCCAGCTGGGAGCTGCCTGGGGAGAGGGCCTTCCTCAGCTGACTGCTGACAGACTGAGCACAGGCCAGGTGGTCAGCAGGACTTGTCATCATGCGGGTGATGAGGGTCAGTGAGTGACCAGAGACCAGGACCAGACCAACCCAGCCCAGAAATGGCCATGCAGGGATAGCGGGGCACCTGCAAAGCTCTAGCCTGCGGTACCCTGCTGGGATATGTAAGAGCCAGAATTGCTCTTCACCCATGGGCCCCACATCCTGACACGGGAAAGCAAGACAAAGGAGCACACACAGCCCCGGACTCCTAGCTCAGAGAAGCAAATGTCACCACTGAGATCATTCTAGGCCCCCTTGCGGGCATTTGTAGTGATGTTTCTGAGTGGAACACTGGGCAAGGCCCACAGGGCAGGTCGGGGAGTCAGTTTTCCTTCTGTTCTCCACATCCTTCTATCCTCCAGTGAACTGGTTTGTTCACCTCTGCCTCAAAAAGCAGTCCTATGACTCCACCTCTCATCGCCGATTGAACCAAGCACGGTCACACGACTCCAAGACCCTCGTTGGTGGGGAGGCCTGAGCCTTGTCAGACTCACTAAAATGAAGAGAGTCCCGGAAATAGTGAATGGCGGCCACTCATTGAGGAGAGCTGAAGGGTGCCCTTTGGAGCTGGGGTCTCTCTTGCTGCACTCATGGAGGAGCTGGCCTCATGAGAGATGGAGGGGAGCCAGCTGTGGGAAGGAAAAGGTAAGCAGAGAAGGAAGTTAAGCTGAAAGGCCAGGAGGCCCCAGAAAGAGGAAGCCACAGGCCCTGCTGCTCTTCTGACGCTGGCTTGTGGACGAGGGAGGGAGGTGCCGGCTCCATTCCAGGGCTGCACGTTCCTTCAGGCTGGATGGCTGGTTTCCATCAATTCATTTATTTATCTGTCCCCTCAGTCTTCACCAGCCTTAGCTCCAACCAACACTGCAGCTGCTGTTACCTCTGGTAATCTGAACAACTAATTTGAAGACAGCAACATAAGAGCCACTGTTGAATTCCTATCATTTTGTTTAGTGAAATTCTGTACCATTTCTTTCTTTAAACTACTTTTATTCTCTGTAAAAAATAAAAAAGATTGTAAAAAAGACTTTAAGTAATAAAAATGTTGCAATAATTAAAAAAAAAGGTAAAATACCATTTATTTTACTATTTATGTCCCTTTTGACTGTTCAACACAAGTAACACTGCAATGTTCTGCATAGTTCCTATCTTTTCATCCTGGAAGTCTTAGACTTACAGAAATGTTATGAAGATAGTTCAGGGTCCGTGGAAGTTTTCCTAATAATTCGCATGTCACATACATGTGATGCATCTGTCACAATTAATGAACCAATGTCGACATCTTAATGTTAAATAAAGTCTATGTTCTCCTCTTTTTTCTGCTCTGGAGCTCCACCCAAGATGCCACATTGCATGTAGTCCTCCTATCTTCAAATTTTCTCTTGATTAAAGAAGGTCCTCAAACTTTCCTTCCTTTTCATGTCTTGGATAGTTTTGAGGCCTGGTCAAGGATCTTGAAGGCTGTCTTTCTGTCTGGCACTTCTTATAATGAGACCAGGCCCATTGGTCATTGGGAGAAACTCCATCGAGGTAAAGAGCCATCTCATGAAGCCATGGGGAAGGTACGCCTGTCACGGGCCATACTGCTGTGGGTGCTGCCCCAAGGGGGCTCCCTCCCTCCTTCCCTAAACTGTCCTTTGGAGGAATGTTAGCATGTGTAATCCACACTGAAGGAGTGGGGTCTGTGTGCCCCTCGTAGAAGGGGAATATCTAAGTAAATGATTTGGAATGTTTCTTCACGGAAAGTGTTCTCTTTCTCATTCATTTATGTATTTGCAGAACCATGTACCAATGTGGAGCCATAGGTCTCTATTTTGTACTCTGGGTTATAACCCCAGTGCTACAATATTTATTTTGTTCAAATTCTTCTAGCTCTGGGCATCAAGTGCCGTTTCAGTTGGCTTTTGTGTCTTTTTTATTTTTTATTTTTATCTATTTCTTTAAAATAATTTTATTGAGTTTTGTGTCTTTGATTGACTCAAATCACTGTATGTGTGTGCATGTGTGCGTGCGTGTGTGCGTGTGTGTGCGCGTGCATGGGTGTTTGGTGTCTGTTTCCTAGAGCACCTCCTTACTTTTTGGCACTATAAGATGCTCTAGGATCACCCTTTATATGGCCTCCCTCAGTCCCGCAGTCAAATATTTGTCCAAGGAACCTTGCTACTTTTGCTGAAGAAGGTATTACAAGCCAAGATCTAGATGTGTGTGCTCACTGTTACTGCAATATCTGCCGCTTCTAGACTATTTCAACGGGCAGAGGAAAGAAATCCATTTATGCACACTAAGGTTAGCACCTAAAGTCCTACCAAGACCCTCTCTCAGGTACAACCTTACTATATATCTGTACTAGGTTGGGTATGAGTTCATGCTGATGTTTCCAGCTACAGTCCACCGCAGTAGACCACTTTCGAGTTTTCTCCCCACGTTGGTGTGTAACCCTCCAGTCCATAGTGAGAAATCCACCCCGCTGCCCGCTTTGCGCCCCCACCGCCCACCTTTCACCCCCACAGCCCGCCTTCTGGTTGAACACTTGCTGTATCCGGTACACTTGCCCTCTGGAAACAGCTACATCAGCAAGAGTACCATGCTAGAGATTTCTTTCTTTCTTTTTCCACTGTGTTCCTCTTTATTCATTTTCAGTGTACCAACTTAAACTTGGATAGGCTGAATTAACCCAACCCACCTCTGGCAGGTACACTCAACATGCTGTATAAAGTATAACATTCAATCTATTATTTCTTTCTCAAGAGAGTTTTCTTCAGTCCATTAAGACCCAGCTCCCCTCACATGGGCTTTGGTGGAGGTCGTGGGGCAGCACCAGCAGGTCTAAATCGGGGTGGAGGAGTTCGGTCCTTGGGGGCTTCACAAGATCGATTTCTGACCACTTTGCTGTGAAGGGCACAACTCACACAGTAATGCAGCTCCACATACAGCTTGGGAAACACATAACCTTCAAAGACACTCGCTTCGGAAATGTCCCTGGCGGCGGTGGCCTCCACTACATTCCGAATGACAGACTTCTTAATAGCCTTATCCTTGGGTACGCACGGGGCGCAGTTCATGCAGCGCATAGGCTGCACATGACCGTGGTCCTTTTTGGCAGGACAGTTGTTCCTTCTTTTTTTCTTCATCTTGGAAAGGAGGACCCAAAAGAGCCCATTATAGAGATTTCGTTTCTAACTTACCTGTTTTGCAGATGTTAGCGGAGTACTTCTTCTTTGCTAGAGATGTGTTAGAAAATAAAGAATCCAGGTTACTAATGTACCCAAATCTCTGCCCACTGGAACTCACATTGTGACTGAGGGCCTCACTTGCTAAACCCGTCCCTCCCCAGGGGCATGGTGGTGGGTCGCGAGAGCTCTTGGCAGCTTTTCCATGGTGGGGCCAGGGGTGGCGCTGCTGTGCTCAGCACGCGGGTGTGGCTTGAGTCTTCCCCCAAGAGCTTGTGTCCTAGGGCAAAACATTAAAGGCACTGCCTGGGAGGGATGGAAACAGAAATTGTGGCAGAAATTGTGGGACCCCTAGTTGGTTCTCCCCAGAGGGTAGCTATAAAAGCACAAGCCTGGCCTCTGTCCTCCCTCTGAGGACAGGGAAGAGGAAGAGAACCTCTGGGTGTTAGTTATGGTGCAGCAGGGCTGACTCACCCCGCACTCTTTCTCATATGGCTTGGGTTTTTGCTATTTACTTTTGAGGTTCTGCTATATCACTCTTAGAAAGGTTTGGCTGAGTCGGACCTCCCCAAAGGGTGGGTGAGCACGCAGGTCCTGGAGTAACCATCCTCATTCTCAGAAGAGAGGTGACCTTTGGAAAGTTGTCAGTGGAACCTCTGGGAAACAGGTGTCCACATGGGATTCCACTCGTGGGAGAGGGAAGGGGGACAGGAGGGCTGAGGAGGAGGGAAGGGCAGGGTGGGGCAGGGGAGGAGGGCTGCATGGAAGGGCCAAGAAAGCTTCATCCAGGACAACCAGCAAGTCCCCAGCCCACACTCAGAGGAGTTCTGCTTCTGCAGCAAGCGTCAGCCCTGGTGACCCTGCCAGGCTCCTCACGACTGTGCACAAGATGCTGAGCACCCGTCTGCCCGTCTGCAGGGCCTTGGCTGTGTGCTTTGCTCTTGCGAATTTGTTAGTAGCATTGCAAACATTTCCCCCTGTTTAGCACATCCCTTACGACTTGGCAGGAGACAGAGAAGAGCGCCACAAGGAAACGCGTTCGAAAGATTTAGACAGACAAGTATTTTCTACATAGTTTTTGGGTCCTTCCTTTCCCTTCCCTTCCTTTCCTTTCCTCCCTCCTTCTCCCGCTCCTCCTCTTCCTTCCCTCCCTCCTTCTCTGTCCGGCTCTCTCTCCGTCTTTTTCTGTCTCTTCTCTCTCTCCCTTTCTCTCTCTCTCTCTCTCTCTCCTCTCTCTCTCTCTCTCTCTCTCTCTCTCTCTCTCTCTCTCTCTCTCTTTCTCTCTCTCTCTCTGTCTGTCTCTGTGTGTCTCTCTCCCTCTTCTCTCTCCCTCTGTGTCTCTCTGTCTCTGTCTCCTTCTGTGTCTCCGTCTGTCTGTCTGTCTGTCTGTCTGTCTGTCTGTCTGTCTGTCTCTCTCCCCCTCTCTCTCTCAGTGTTTGACCTTCCCTACAGTTTAAAAACATTCACTCCTGAGTATGAGTATGAGCTGCCTGGTGTGGACTCCACTGAGCTGGACAGCCAGTTTTCTGAAATGCAGAGTGTGGAGGGAGCTCACAGTGACCCTTGCCACTCACGTGAGTGTACGCCCACACGGCGGAGAGTGAGAGGCCAATCCGGAGTCAGAAGGTGGGCAGTAGGGCTGCCTCTCTTTTCTGTCTGGGCTTGAAGGAGGTCTCTAACCTCTTTATGCCTCTGTCTCTAATTTGCAAAATATGGAAAGCGTTATTTCCTCTGTTATAGTCCTACTAGGAGGAGTAAACGAGACAAGAAGCACAAAGCTCTTTATGGCGCGCCTGGCACAGGTTAGCTGCTGCATGAATCTGTCCCGCAAATATTTATTGAGGGTCTCAGCTGGGCCAGCCACTGTGTCCAGTGCGGACAACTCCAGTTTTTTGCTATAAATGTTATTGCAGTCAGTTGTGACTCTATTTTCTATTTTCCCACTTTTCTACCTGGAATTTATTCTAGAATTTAAATATTTTTAAAAAGACACAGGGACATTTTCAGATAGTCAGTTATCCCCTAATCATTCATTCAGTGATTACTCTTCTCCCCTCCACTATTAGAAGATATTCTGTCCACTGTATTCTAAACTCCCACGTCTGTTTTGGAAGGCCTGGCGTTCTTCGATGCTTTTCTAGTCATATTTTGTCTGATTACCTTCATGGATCTCTTTTGAAAGATTGGGCAAGTTTAGGTGAAGAAAATACTAAGTTTAAAAACGTTTGGGTTTTGTCTAATCCAGCGAGCGTAGCACGTTTGTCTCCACTTTTCCTCTGAAGGGCCTTTGCCTCTGTGCTTGAGTCTCCCATGAAGGACAGCGCAGGCAGCAGGGTGACTGGCTGAGCTCAGGACTGTGGGGTCCTGGGCGCTCCATGTACCGCTGGTCGTGGGCAGGGAAGGCCAGCCTGGCTTCTGTTGGGGACACCTACGTCAAGCCTCAGACCTGCGGAATGACTCAATCACCCCAAATAACACATTCATCATCCCCTCGTCTGCTTATTATTCTTGCGGCCAAAGCGTTAGAATTTTACTTTCTTAGCAATTTGGAGACGCGCAGGGCGCTGACAGTGTACTGCTTGGCTGCTGCTCACAGGTTAGCCCTCCTCTCTGGCTGGAGCTTGGCACTGCATGGCTGACACCCGCCTACCCCACCCTCCCCACGCACAGTCTCTGGCAGCCGCCATCGGGTCAGGGAATCCCTGGGCTCTTCACGAAGGTTCAGACAGCACAGTGCACGGCTCTGGTTTCTGCAGGGCTGAGACCGAGGGGCAATGTTGCTGATCAACCTCAGAGTAGGTAAGGCTGGCATCCGCTGCGTGCCTGTTATGAGCAAGGGATTCGTATCTGCTGACCATCTTTGGCCTTTCCACCCCCTTTGGACTGGCTCAACTTTTCTCAGTTGCAAGAAAGGAGTAGGAAAATCACTGAGGCAATAAACAACCACATGAATCCCCATAGGTCCCCAGGGCGCTGCAGGCTGCTTCCCCATCCTGGGACCCATGGGCACGATACAGCAGGGGCAGGGAGGCAGCAGGGTGCACAGCTGTGCTCCTGTGTGGGTCTCCTGGGCAATCAGGCTGCCCCCAGGCATGCCGCCCCGCTTCCTCATCTGCTAAGCCAAGCTCTTCCACATCGGGCTTCCCTTTCTCCTCCGGTTTCCTTCTTGTCTTCTATCGAGAGCCGGCTGAAGTCCACCTGACCATTCTCCCAAGGAGGGGCTGCTGAGACCTTTGTGGCTGTCTCCATCCAGCTTTGTTTGCCGGAGAAGGCAGCCCCTGTGCATCCCCTTGGTGGGGTCCCCGCACTGGTGTATTCAGCTTGCCCTCCTGCCCCTCTGACTGGCATCTGCTGCCACCCTGGCCCCTGTCACTCCCCCCGTCACGCTATCTTACAGACCACGACATCACCTGAGTTGGGTGCAATGCTTTCTCTGCCTACTTCCACAAAACACAGTATGTTTCTGTCTCGGTTACTTTTCTTTTGTTGCTGAGACAGAACACCTGGTGCCCAGAATTAAGGAAGGAAGGGCTGATGTAGCTCACACTGTGTGGAGGCTTCCGTCCATACTCAGCCGGCTCCAAGGCTGAGTGGTGCGGGGACTCAGGCTCAGTGCTTGCGATTTCTGGACTTGAGGGTTCCAAACGTGGTTTGGGCCTTATGCCTTTACTGGGTATTGTTCAGGTATTTTGAGTCTCCCGAAAGAGCCCAGGGAAATTGGATCAAGGGAGCTTATTCTAAACATTACTATACAGACGAGTCCTTGAAATGCGACACAGGGTCTCTCCAGTGACTAGGAAGATGCTGGATCGTGAGCACAAAGTCCGTGAGAGGATCCTAGAGGGGGCAGCACAGAGATTCCTTCATTTTCCCACATTTTCATACTGTGTACCGGCTGTACAGATGAACGGATGTTATTCTGGAAGATTTGTACTTGAACACGGCGCACTTCACGCCCTGCACCCCTTCACCCCACCCTCGCACCAGTTTTCCCATTTTGGAGGATTCGGTATATTTTGATCTTATTCATGCCCCCCCTTACGCATCTTCACACTCCCTCTTCCACTCCCCCTTTCCTTCGTCTTGTCTAGTAATGTTTCCTTACTACTGTGTCATCACCTTTTATAGATTTCACATATTAAGGAGAATATGTGAGTCTGTGCTATTGTGCTCAACATGATGATCTCGGGGTCCATCTATTTTTCCTGCAAGAGACAGAAATTTCATTGTTTTCCATGGCTGAGTAATGTTCCATTTGGAGCTGCAATGTACACCGGTTTTCTTTTTGTTCTGCATTTTAGGGAAGGGTCTACAGGGTGTTCAGGGTCTCAGTACTAGATCAGACTTGTAGGGAACCACCTGTTTACAGCCTCCCAAAAGCTGCGATTACAGGAGTGTGCCACCATACCCAGTCTCAATTGCTGTCTCAGCACACCTGAGGGTGTGGGGCTGGCACGGCAGGCCCGGGGATCAAACCCTCGGCCCCTGTGCCTGCTTGTAGGCTGTTAACCTGCTGAGCTATTTGGCTGGCCCTGGTTTTCTCTTTATCCTTCCTCCAGCAGCTCTGGCTCAGTAGGACCTCGGCAGTGAATGGCAGATAGAATGGACGAGTTTCTCATGATGGTGAGATCTAGCCACATTTATGACTGTTTTTAATTTTGTTTTTTAGATACAGGGTCTCATTACACAGTTCAGACTTGTAGTGATCCTCCTGTCTTGGCCTCCCCAGAGCTGGGATTACAGGTGTGAGCCACCAAGCCCAGTTTTGGGGCTTGCATGGTGCATCCAGGGTTCTGGGGCTGACATGGCATGTGGTACCGGGGATTAAACCCAGGTCCTTGTGCTCACCAGGCAGGCTCTTAGACTGCTGAGCTATCTCCTCAAGTCAACGCACTTACAATTTTAAGAATATTCTTGGTATAAGTCAGAAATTCATTGGGCAGCTAGGCAGAGCACAGCAA